GCAAGGGAAGGAACCTCCTTCATTAAAGCCCCAACGAGAAAGGGGCGCTTACAGGGTTTGGAGGCAACAGGTGAGCGGGGGTCTGGGGGTGTAGGCGAGGGGACCACCCGTGAACTGGAAGAAGGCTCCTCTTCCCAGCGGGACAAGCAGCACATCTGCTTCCCCAGGAGTCCTGGCCGAGCCCCCCACCACCCAGAGGAAAGGGGCCATCCCGCAGCACCACCAGCTAAGGCAGGTGAGCAGAGCGTCTCTTCCATAGCCTCTGCCACCCGTGTACAACATCGTTTTCACCAGGCAGTTCTGTATTTTGATAACCGAGAGCATCAACCAAGCTTCATCCCACACAGAAAAGGAAACAAGGAGTCATTTCAGTAACTGAGCTTTATAAATGATTTTCAACAAACCTTTTTCTGAAAATAAGCTACGAATGACTGCCTTCGTCCATCTTCTCTCTACTACTCACTGGGAACAAAAGGCAGGATGGGGTCTCTTGTTCTTACTCTGCTGCGTGCACGGTATCTTTTCAGTCTCCAATGTGTGAGAGGGACACTGCCACGCTTCCCAGGCATCTGTCATTGATGGCATGAGCGGAAACCAAAGGGAAGGCATGGCTGAAATCTCAGCATGCTACAGAAATTCCCACAGTTGACACATGGCTGACAGGAGGTTTTCATGACTAAACCAACCCTCCCCCAAGCCATGGAAACCCCCCCCCCAACACATGTGAGAAACACCAGTGTGGGTGAACCTGAAGAAAGTCCTTTCTTGACAAAACCGATGTCAAAGCTTGTTTCTGGCCAGAGGATTTTGTCTTCCATGTTCACACCTATTGTATTCAGATAGCCACCACTGCTGCTTTTTGACCGTATTCAAAATCCTTCCTAGCAACTGAGATTTGAAGGTTTCTTCCTATGTGGAAAACGCGGAAATGAGGAGCCACTTTATCAATATAAGAAGATCTCCTGCCCAACTTCCCTCACCCCTATACACACAAGTAAAGGCAGTGGAGAGGAACTTCACGGGGCTGGATGGTCACCACCTGGACAACTTGCACTCTGAGCATCCCACCACAGAGCAGCAGTATCACGTTGGGGGTAAGCACGAGGACGAGCTACTCCTCACAGATAACAAATGCCTCACCCAGTACATGCCCTAGACATGGCTGATGACGGTGTCCCACAATGGAGGAAGGCCCTACCCCAACAGGAAATCACTGCTGGGGCCACTTCCATCACTGCTACCTGTCTGAGGCAATGCGGGGTGATGAAAACAGGAAGGCAAAAGCAGACAGTTTGAGAAGTAAACAAATACTGTACCAGGCTCCCTCTTTCTCCACAAGAAATCTGGGAGCGGGCCTTGCCTCCTATTCACAGAGAAGAGGAGGATTCAGTTCTCAGCAGAGGACTCTTAAGGCCAAGCAGAACGCAATTCGGTAACTCCGCTCAGCAGTTTCCGAATGCTCACTGTCCTTTGAAAGCGCTCAAGTCATCTTTGGGTTTCCCCGACTTCACAGGCAGGCTGGCGCTCCCTCGTTAGCACACAGACAGAGGTTACGCGATGGTTCATCCCCCAGGGAAATCAATACAGGGATCGTTACTGCTTTAAGGTCACAGGCTCCCTGGCCTGCTCCTCTTTCGTCAGACCACCTCTGCCGTATAGATGAATGTAAGCCCAGCAGAGAGACCCATCTTTAATCCCAAATGTCTCCTCATTCCCAAATGTCTTCCCAAATCTGGGGATGATAAAGTCTTTCATCCCAAAGTTAGCCAAGTGTAGCAACCACTCAGAGTTTTTTTCCACTTTTGTTTGCCTTCAGCTGGAATAAGGAAGGATTAAGTATCCCTTCTACCCCTCTTACACCTACCACCCTCACATCACCTATCAAAGGCGTCTGCCCAGCAAAGGATACACAACGTCCTGATGTTTCACGCAAGTGCTCCTCTGTTCCAGAAGGCGCTCCAGCAAGGTCTGAATGGTGCCTGACTGCACTGGCTCCACCTGGCAATGACTGCTCTGAATCTGAGCAGTCAGAAGAAAGAATGACTTCCAGACCAACAGGAAACTGTTGGGCTTGTTCCTTCATACCTCCCTCTCTCATCTCCACACAGAGCAATTAGACCTTCGGACTTTGACCTTGGGGGGAATCAAGGGGCTGCCCAATATGAC